TGTTTTGTTGTGTGTCGGGTAGAATAATGAATGCATTTGAAGATATCGAAATGATAATAGTTTTGACATTCTAAATCTTTCAGTTCTTGGTTTTGTATCTGAAGTCTTGAAATGTTGAAAATTTAAAGGATTGAATATATGAAAATGCTGGATGTATTTAAAATTTTTAATTACCTTATTTAGTGTAATTTTTTAAATAACTTAATTAGTTACTCTTTGTTTGTTGGTTTAAGATTTTGAAATATTTACTTTGAATTGAATATTTTGTTTGTGATTTTGAAATTATGCCTCGGTTGAAAAGTTAGTTTTTAAGTCATGCTTATTATCTTTATTAATCGTATATTGTAACATATAATAATTTAATAAACCTGAATAAACTACATATTGTAGAAGAAAACTTACTTTTTTGATTTTTCCCCTAGAACTAGCAATGACGTAATCAGCGGAGCTTCATAAAATCTAACGAAAACAGATAATACATATTTTTTTAACATATATAAAAAAATCTGACTATTTATTAAGTTGCAGAAAAACTATCAATCAGTCAAAAACTGAACTTTTTTAATGAGAACATAAACTATGGGTTAAAAGGTGGCACAAAACTCTCATATCCACTGTAAAAAATCTCAAATTTGTCATATCTTAAAAAATTACATTTAAAAAAAATCTATAAACTTTTTCTTTTTGTAGTTTTTTCTTAAATATCAATAACAACAAAAAATTGGTAAGTCTTAATTTTGGTTTATAAGGATTGAATATTTAAGGAATGATTCCAATAAATTAAAAAAAATAATAATTAAACTAAAATAATAATAAAACATTTAGGTCCTCAGCTGTCTGAGTTCTTACATCTCATTTCAAAAAACAGTTTTAGTAGATATTTAATGTGACACATGTGTCATTTCATATTATCCAATTAAATGATTACATATGTCATTTTAATATGATAAAATACCATTAAATGAGCATTAAATGTGACACATCTCATCATTTAATTGGATAGGAAATTTGTAAGAAGAAAAAGTAGGAAGATATTTACATATAAATTAATATTATATCAAATAAACTTAACATTTTTGTTAGACTACTGTGGTTATCATTTTAAATTAAGTTTCATTTACTACTTTAAATAAATATATGGTTAAACCTGTAACATGTTGTGGTCTTATGAGACATACAAAAACATAATAGATATTATTCTATGAAACTTAAATTAACTATTTGATTGATACTAATAAGGAAAAAAAAGACTTATTTACATGTTTTTAAAAACATAAGGTTGATGGGAGTAGAGGTGTTAAGGAGCTCGTCAACACTCACTAAGAAGAAAGAACACCACCCCCTAGCTCTCGCTGGGAGGCTCACTATCTTTAAGCTCGTCAATGGCATAAGGAGAGGAAAGAGAACATTGATTGAATCTTATTGGCTATTGACTTTTGTTTAAAATCTTAATCAATCACTTTGAATTCTTTTTTATTCCATTTGGAGAGAAGTTACAAAATCACACCCTTATCTTTTCTTCATAATTCACTCTTTGATGGAAGTTTCTAAATTAAAGACTTATCTTTTCTTAATAGTTCTTTTTTTGTTTCAAATATATGGATAAAATTTATCTTTTTGGTGTAAAAAATTAAAACATTAAGAAGTTTTTAAAATGTCAAATAAATGTTTGTGTAATATTATGTCATATTATGTAAATTAAAAAAAAATGTTTGTGTAGTATTAAAAGAATGTTTGTTTATTAAAATAAAGTAATTGAATTAAATTAGATAAAAAATGAAAAATGGAGGGCTAGGAGTGTTACCATTCCTTATAAAATGTTGAGATATGGTGCTAAATTGAGAAAAATAAGGTGGCACTTAAAAAGTTGACGTCACAAAATAGTAAGAGTGTTATTACCACTCCTCTTAGTCAACAATTGATTTGCTTTGTTCAAGAAATATAAGAAATGACCCATGTATGTCTTAAGTTCCCAATGAAACAACGAAAAGTCACGGATGAAACTCTATCCACTGTGTCTTTATCATACACCACTTTCTTATTTAATCCTATAGTTTTTTTTAACCAAAACTACAATAACCGACTAATTATAATTTTAACTATAAATTAATATTTATGTGACATTTTTTTAAGGCATAGGCTAACCATATCCCTTTACCTTCTACTAATACCCCTAATCACTATATTAACTTTTTTTTAATCGATTAAAATGATTATGTAATAATTTATCCTTTTTTTTTTACTATAATGATTAAGTGATTATTTGACTTTTAATACTAATAAATAGTTTTTCTTAGGGGTAATTTTAAATACACAAATAAATATGGGATATTGATTAATTATTTTTACTTGTTATTGTTTATTTTAATATTAAACTAGAGGGGGTTTCCCGCGCGTTGCGCGGGGCGGAACGTGTTCGTTTTGTGAGACAAATAATGAAGTACATTGCATGAATTGGTTTCCACATTAGAGTATGTTGTTATTCTATGTAATTCGCCATCAATTAGATGAGTGGAAAATGTAACGATAAATCATGTTAGTAAAAGAAATAGAATGTCATATTTGAATAGATTTTAAAAAACAATGAAAGTACAATCTTATATTCTTCTTTGTTTTCATTTCCTTGAATGATCAAATCATGCACCAAAGAAAAACATCACCATTTGTACTCCAGAGAAAACAGATTGGAATAAATAAAATGTTAAATGATTATCTAACAAAAATCAAATACCATATACATTGCAGGTTACCAAAATTGATATTGTGCTAGAATCTCCCACCAAACAAAAACAACACCTTTTGTACTCGGAGAAAACACCTTACATGTCTCCTTGCTAATATTTATTTTGTCAATGGACGCCATTGTTGACATATCTTTTGCGTGTTCTGTGATTAGCACAAAATTTCCATTCATTTATAATCAACATGCTAAACTACTTTACAAAAAAAAAAAAAAAAAAAAAAAAAAAAAAAAAAAATTGAAGCTATACAGATTAATGGCATTCAAATAATAAAAGATAAAATAAGGTAAGTAACCTATATCCTGCTTCCCATTAGTAGACCACTTGCTTTCAAAATATTTTTTCATTTGTCATGTGAAATAAATATATAATAATAAAACAAAAAGAAAAATAAAACATATAAAATAGATGTCTCATATTGATATCGAAATGTAAGTAGATTGCAAAAGGAATTGTATAAGAACTAAAAGTGTAATCCTAAGTTGGAAAAGGAATAATACACTCGGTGATCCTGAAATGACCAATTTAACCCTATTTCCCTTCCTATCATTATCAACTCTCATCCTAGTTACAGAAAACCTTTGATTTACTTGAATTAGTGCAGAAGTCATCATTTACACATATAGTTACTCATAAATGTAAAGGTGGAAAATTAAAGGAGCTTCGAAAACAGGCAAAGAATTATAAATAATGTCAAAAAAATAACTCTTTAACCCGTCAACTCCATTTGGAAAAAATAATCAAACAATACCTATTGGAATCTTTCTTTAAGTGTAAAAAGGGGACCACGACTTTGACTTTCTTTGACTGATAATGAAGTTGTGATCTACCCAACGTTTTCACCTAAAAAAGTATAATAATGTCTTAATCACTACAAAAAATAATCAAGTGACTAAATTGATTTAATTGTAAAAAAATCATTTCGCAAAAGACTGTTTTACCCTTTTGTCATGTGAAACATAATAAGTGTAGTACTTTGTTCATCTTAAAATGTTGTATCAAGCCAAAATAAAAACTCAATATTACTTATCATATACATTGTAAATGGTCTTTATAATATTAGTAAAGTGTATGTCATTGTAATGAAGTATTTATAAACATAGCTAACTAATTACCGTTTTACCCTCATTCAATTGTTGAAGCCTTTGCAGCACCTGTTTTTGGTAAAAAGGTTGTCAACAACACATCTCCAATCAGTCCTATCAATAATAAAAAAGCAGATAATTATCAATAAATTGAATGAATAAAAGTGTAAAGATTGAGTCATAAAAATGATGTAAAATTACCTGAAAACCACCGATGCTTTATCTCAATTCCACAAAATTACCAGGGACACAGTAAAAGATCGACAACATCATAGTGCTTGGAAATCCCTGCAGCCACAGAGCATAACAGATGTAAGAAACATTAAGATTTGGTTGTAACATTTCTTCGAGCACTTGGTGTGCATCATCAAACTCACTTTCAAATATCATAATAAAGAATGAAAAGAAATCCAAATTATACCGAAATCGAACAGTAGCTTCGTTCAAATCCGAAATGAAAGTCTGCTTACCTGCAAATTCGCATGTTGTCTGTGGTGTAAACGTCGAACAGCTGAAAGTCGATAAAAAAATGTTTGAAAAATCCGAATTCTACCGAAATCGAACAATAGCTTCGAACAGAAAGTTACCGGTCACCAGACTGTTCAATGGGAGGAAAAAGAGAAACACATTTCTACGACATTTCAACGAACACCTGGACTGCCAAGTCGATGGAACCACATCCTATTTTTTTTAAAAGCAACTGGACATTCACCGCCATAAGTGAATAACTAATAGAGTCAACTATGTTTTTTCAGAAATAGAAGACGAAACAGAGAGAAAAAAAACAACAAAAAGAGAGATCGAGAAAGAGCTATGTAGAAGACGGACATACCAGTTAAAAGATGTCGATGGTTGTAGAACAACGAATCGATTAGAGTAGATGGTGGCAAGCAACGGAGCTAATAAAGGAATCGGTGGTTCAATTTATGGCCTCTATCTCTTGATTTTTCTCTCTATCTCAGCAACGTAGAAGTTTGGCGGACTTGGAATTAGAGGAGAGAACACCCAAATAGAGGTCGGTGAAGTAGTCAGGATCGGTGAAGAAGAAGATGCGAGAAGATCAGAGGTTTTGACACGAAGGATTAGGAACAAAACATGGAAAGCGTCCTCCAATGGAAAACAATTTCATCATATATGAAGAATATTACAAGTTTTTGGATTTGAATAGAAACTATAAATTGTAGGGTTTCATGTTTACCTTGAAGATCATTCCATTAAAAAATCGGTGGTTCCTGCTGCATAACTGGAGTAAAATCCGACCAGCACCGTCCTCTACCTAAGCGGGAGCGGTTCATACCTCAATACATACCTTGCAGAGAGAAAGACGGATGTGGATGAAAGAAACCAGGGAGCAAAAGAAGAAAGAAGGAGATACGGAAAAGAAAGAAGTTAAGTAAAGAAAGAGAAATATCCATTAATTGACACGTAGATCCGAGTATACGAATAAAGGATCATGTGTTGGACACGTTGAAAGAGGTTTAAAATTTTTACAAAAAAAACCCCTCTAATTAAACTAAAACAGAGAGAAAATTGGTAACAAAAACTTTAATATATATATATATATATATATATATATATCCGATTAAAAGCTATAAGATTAATAGAATTTTCAATTACACCCCTTTAATTTCCAATGAAGTTTCATTTGATATATTTTACTTATTAAGTTTTTAATATACAGTAAATTTATTTTATTATAGTTGTAAATAATTTATATAAAATAATGTTATTTATTATTTTTTTAATATACAGTGAATTTATTTTATTATAGTTTTAGATAACTTATATAAGATAATGTTTAATGTTAATGAAAATTAAATATAACTATATCATTTTCTGGTTTATGAAAAATAATACCAATTCCTTGTATGTGTCAATAAAAACTTAAATCAATAATATATTTTTATATTTTAAATTTATAAAACAAAAAACGTTTGTTATATATTATTTACATGCATCTAATAAAATTATATTATATAAAAGAATTATATTTAACATACGGATATTTCAACCCAACGAATAATAAAAAAGTTCAAATACATTCCCACTTAATCGATATGTATCCAAGGTGCTACAGAACTACAAGGCCTAAGTTGATTGTATAATTCAAAACGAGGCCAATACATAGCTTCCCATGTAGATGCTGACGAGCTTCTATGGGCATTCCAATACATTGTGGTAGGAGGCATTGGGTAATTTCCTTTCAAAAACACCGACATATAATGGATGCCATTTACAAATGCCAATGTAATGGCTCGGTGGGGTTGAAACTCTTCGAGACCTCTCCAAAGAGGGAAGCATGTCGTAGATTGTTCCTAGCTTAAACAATGAACGATCACACCAAACTTGTTGGAAATCAGGTAACCAGTCAAAGGCATATGTAACCAATATCGAGAAGGTGCAAGTGTTTCAAACTAACGCAATGAATTGTATACCTCGTTGAAACCGTCAGTAAAAACTCTATGATATGCGTAATATTGACTCTCTAACTCTTCAAGCAATTGTTTTCGAATATAAAGCCACTGGTCTTCATTATACCCTAGACAGACAGCTACCGCTCGAAACCCACAATTTCCATCACCTTCTACATCATGTATATCGTCAATATAATCATGAAATATATCTGGAATACTTCTTAGTTGGAATGGATTATGGCTCGGTGGTTCATCATTTAAGTCAGGTTCTTTATTTAAATCGAACCCAACAAACTCTGATGTGGTTGAGAAGTTTTATCTACTAGGAGCTTGATTTAGAGGAATGACTTTCTTTTTCTGGTGTTTCTTCACACTTGGTCGTCCACGAGTGTTTTTTTGAACTATAGGCTCCCCAATGTCAGTTTTTTGCGGATCATATATCTCTTGTAGCTTTCTCATATAAGCTTGTTTCCTTGCTTTTGATTTCTTCTTGAAGCTTTCTTTAACTTTTTCAACTATATCATCACACAAAATATTGTCGTCTACTACAGGTGTTGTATCTGAAAATATCAAGCTTCCTCCAAAAGATATCTATTGAATCCAATGGTATATCTTCACCTGCATTGAAATATAAAATAATTATTTACATAACATTTTAAAAAATATCTACATGTGGTAGTTGAACGTACGAACCTAAATTCAAGTAGCCAGAAAGTATGCAAGCACATGGTAACCCACAACTGTTACGAAGTTTGCAACCACATTTCGAGGAGTCTGAATTTAGGTCATTGAACCTTTGAAACTCTCCTAATATTATATCTAAATATTCGTTTGAAACAAAACAACGCAGTAACCAGAAGCACTTCAAATTGTGGTGATTGTAGCGATAACATCTGCTATTTTCAAAACTTTCGTTGATCGAAGTTACCTATGACTGCACAATTTCAGGAATATTTTGCACAAATATATCTAGATTACAATTTGAGGAGTCCAAAAATTTCTTTAACTTGGAATGTGCACTCTCAACTCTATTGGATGTGTGGTTTCCAAAATTTAGATGTTGATCAACCCAAACCGACACAAACATTTCTTTGTCCTTATTTAACCATGTATCCTCTACGTATCTCAAAGCACCTGCAAAATAAAATAAGTTAAGAAGTAAGTACATACATAGTAATATGAAGGTTTTGATTTAAAAGATACTAAACAAACATGCTTACGTGGATAATCTGTGAACATTAAATGAAGTCGTTCATAGTTTTCTGTATACGCCATCCATGTTGGAGACTCAACTAGTAACATCCATTGTATTCTAAAGGACTCCCAACCATTTTTCAACTTGATAATTTTGTTGCAATGTTTAAAAATGTTTTGCTCATTTTGCCATCTACACAGTAATCGGGCAGCATTCGGAAAAACTGTTTGACACACATTGATGAGTGCCAACTTTCTATCTGTGATTATTACACGTGGGAGCATGCAATTCTCAAGTGTTGACCTTAGACAATTTTACACCCAAGTATAGTTGGCCTGATTTTCTCTATGTATGAAGGCAAAACCTATAGAGAATGTCTTTTGAGTTAAGGTCACACCAACTATTTGAACAAGCAACTTATTATATTTGTTCGTTTTGTATGTGGCATCTATTAGCAATACATGTGGAAATGCACGCCATATCTTCCAAGATGTTGGATGAACAAAAAAATAATTCTCCAACTCATTTGAAGCACCTGTAGTAAGCTCATAGATATAATTATTGTTGTGCAAAATGGACATAAGAACCTGCATTGGAGTTTTTCCAGCTTTCTCGTGCATGCGAATCTTTTGTTGTGCATTATATATTGTTTTAATTACCGACACATTGTTTTCGTTTTGCTCCTTCAATGTTGACAAGATATGGCATCGCGCTACATGCTTTCTTGTTAAATTTGCCACCAAACGATTCTCATCAACAGATAATCGTCGTGCAAATGGATGACCCTCCATATGTTGTGCAGGTGCATGATTATGTTCATCACATTTTACCCTTAGCGTCCATCGATCCAATACTTTTGAATACTTTCCTTGCAATTCAAACTTACAATTAGTCTTTCTGCTTCCAGATGCTTTAATTGTGTTAGTAGCTTTATACTCTCCACTACGATCACATGCAAGTATGACTTTATACACGAATCCATTCACATATGCTTTTGATCTTTTTGTGATAATGACATATCCTAGAGATCGTGCTGTATTTTGTGTTCATTCAAACAATTCATCACGGGACCTGAACATCTGAAATTGAATTTTATATGTCTTAGAATTTTTTTTTCTTATTTCAAAACATCACAATCTAGTATAATTATATAACCTGATCGGTCGAAAATTGTGATTTTTTAGTAGAAACATCTTCATCGCGAGCAGACAAATTGATTCCGAACAACTTAAACATATCAATATACAAAAATCACAATAGATATATTTAATATAATGTTGGACAAATACAAAAACCATAAGCTTTTTATATAAAATAATTCAATATTTTTAAACTGAAAAAATAGTGTATTAACATAAATAAATATTTTCAATTATTTTAATAAAAAAATGCAGTACTTAAATACGTCCGATTATAGTTTGTAGATAGAAGCTTCCACGTGAAGCCATTATTTAATTGGAACAAAATATATGCATTTATGTAAACTTGGAACAAAGGGTTAAGATGAAATTTTTTTAATCTAACGGGCTATAAATATAAAATTGTAAGATATAAAAATGTTACTTTCTCAAAACCCTAACATATTAAATCAGCCGCTAAGAAGGGAGTAACATACCAAGAAGCGATTTCCGGCGAAAAAATTTGAATTCCGACGGCTTCTAAATGCGATTTCCGGCAACAAGAGGTGAATTCCGATGGCGGTCTTTCTCGCGATATTCCAGTCGTGTTTCTCATAATCTCTTTTACTCTTATTCTGTCTTTTTCGGATATATCGTTATGTCTTCCGACGTAAATTATAAGTGGCTCGCTTTTCTCAATCGTGCCACGGTGGTTCAAGGTGGTTTAAGATATTCAGAAGGTGTTGAATGGTGTTTAATGATGGTTGAAATGGTAAAAGGTGTTTGATGATGGTAAATGGTGGTTCCGGTGATCTTTGTTTTGATTTCTCTTTCTCCCTTTCTATCTCCGGCGTGGTTTGGTTTCCGCCGGTTAGTTGTTGTCGACGGTAGTTTGTTGATTGAAGTTGGTTCCGGTGGTGAACAAATGTTTTGATGATTATTGTTAATATACCAATTAAATGTTTCAGTTTATATAAAATGTTTTGGTTTATTAGTTGTTTAAATGGATTAATAGTGTTCAATCTTCAATGTAATTGTAGTTTGTTTATAATGTGCAAATTTATTCTTTTTATAAATAAATCACACTCTTCAAAACATTAATATCATCCATATACATGAAAAAGTTTGTAGTTAATGTTTTAACTGTAATACTTTTTATTTATTGGAGAAAAAACCTAGAAATAAAAAAAAGACCGCAAAAAAGAGTTAGTTGAAAGTCAACTACCAAACAAGTCATGATTGGAGGGGTAGAGTCACGAAAAAAGGGTAGTAATGGTAGAACATATTATATTATAAGCAAGTATATGAACATAAATGTTTATTCAATTATATTTGAAAATTAATATAACCATACATATTTATTTTTAATCCTTAATTTGTAGTCTAATACTGGTCTACTATTTATATTTTCATATTTTTTATATGCTTTTTGATAGGCTTCATTCTAAATAAATTATAAATAAATGATAATTACCTATTTATGTTGAATTATAGAATAAAATAATGTTAGTTGCTTGTATAACTATATATAAAAATAATCATTATAATATCTGTAACTATTTATGTTTGATTGAATTATAAAATAAAATAATATTAGTTATTTGTATAAATATGTATAAGAATAATCATTATAATATTTGTAACTTTTTAAAGAAATAACATTAATGCCTTGTATGCTTAGATATCGAGTTTTACTCGAGGGATTTAACTTTTAGCAATTATGCTTAGATATCGAGTTTTACTCGATCGATTTAACTTTTATCAATTGAAGTGGCAATTGTTAATTTTTACTTTACAGGGGCATTTAAATATTAATATTCATTTAATTTATGTGGCAATTTACTTTACTTGGTCCGATCAATTCTCAGACGGATGATGACCGTAGCTGCTCTTTCTCTTTGCCTTACAGAATCACCACTGAAGCCCCCTACCTGAGACGTCTTTGATGTCAACCTCCTCTCAAACACCTCTTCTGATCCCCTCCCCTTCGAGTCTCACGATTAGAGTAGAAGAAAAAATATTTTGCTTCCCCGTTTCTTGTCCTTTCTTCGGTTCAACCAAACTCTAGAGATGCAAGCTCCTTGCTCGACTTCTGTCGGCTACAAGATGCACGAACCAGGGAGTAATCATCAGACCAGAATCCTCGCTGCTTCCCTAGAGATGGCCACCACCTCGAAATCGCTCTACAAATCGTACCACCAGCGAAGCATTCCTGTTTTTTCATTTCGCTATGTCGTTCATAAGCCCTGACTGTTAACGTTCTTCTCCAATTACCCGATCAACAAAAGGAATCGGGACTTAAAAGCCCTAATCCTCCTAAGTTGAGCCATTAAAATTTAAACACATCTAGCACTCCATTTATAGTTTTAATTTAAAAATCAACACTCCCTTGGTATGTTTCAACAAAATGAGTCCCTTTCCCCAAACGTTTGGTTTAATTAAAACAAAACAGCCTCTCCATGATAAATTCTTAACAGAATCAGTAAAATTCGCAAACATTAATCCCATTTAAACCATTTCAGTCCCTCCCTTGACTTATTTTAACCAAAGTAGTCATATTTTGGTTACTTAAATTACCCAACAACCCCCAATAGTTTAAATAATTTAAATTTGTTAAGAATCAAACAGTTCAAACTGCAACCGTAGGAATACTTCTTAAAATCTGAAAGGTTGTATTTAACAGTTGTGAGCAATACAAACACTCTAGTCTCATAGTACGTGTTTCCTTGATTCTGAAAATATAAAAAACGTCCAAAACGAAGTTTGTACGCAAACGATACAACTGTTTTAAGAATCCAAAACCATTCTAATACCGATTTTCTTAAAATTGCTAGAACCGTTTCTATCTGTTGAGGGACTTGCACACCTCAAATGGAAATTTCTAAAGCAAGTTTGGACTCAAGCTATAGCCTAATATTTAATTTCATATACTTTTAGTTAAAATATTTATAAAAGCAAAAAATCAGATGTTTTCAGATTTATTAATCGTGAAACCTTAAACTATTGACTTCAATCTGGTTTCAATTATTGGCAATACCTTTTGGAAATAATATATTATTATCTAATACAACAAAGTGAGTTTTAACGATCGAAGTAACAATATATTTTCATTTATGGGTATAACCATTTATATTGATGCATAACTAACAACATGTGGTCAACTATAAATAGGTTATTATAGATTTTATAATCCATACATTAACTTGTGTCACCGCTCGTTCAGTGAACGGGTTGACCGATAATTGAATTATATATATTGTTGATATAATATCAATGTTTATACAACTGATGAAGGTGAACTTGAAAAGTTTTCTTTTATGTGAACCAAATTTCAATCCAAGAGATTATTAAATATAAACGATCTTAACATAAGTTAATAGAAATAAGAGTAAATTACTGAAATCGTCCTAATAGTATGGTTAAAATTACGTGGTTGGTCTCTAACTTATTTGTACACTCGGATCGTCATTGTGGTTTGATTTTGTTGCGTTTTTCGTCCCTTATATACAAAAAATTACGAACCAAATATACAATTTTGACCAAACTATAGGAACGAAAAACGCAATAAAATCAAACCATAGAGACGATCTGAGTGCTAAAAAAAGTTAAGGGCCGAAATATGTAATTTTGACCAAAACATAATGGACTTTTCAATAATTTACTCTAGAAATAAGCAAAAAACATTAAAATGAATGCCAGATCACCAAAAGAATGTCTTATACTACAAACATATAATTATTTTTGAAAAAAATAACAATTTTGACGCTTTTGGTCAATTTGACCTTTTTGACATTTTTTGTTCTTTTTTAATATTAAGGACTAATATGAATCACTAAAAACAAAAAGGTAGAGGTTTTGTTTGTGGTTCCAATGATATGTGGTCAAGTAAATTCACAAAAAATTGATCATTTTAGATGTTTTGGTAAATTTGTTGACATTGACCATTGATGTTATTTTCTTTGATTTGGAAGAGTTAAAAATGAACAAAAAAGAACTTTATAATGATACTAGACTTGTATAACATGACGTACAAATAATCTTGAAAATAATGATAATTTTGACCTTTTTGGTCAAATTGATCATTTTGAGATGTTGGTTATTTTTGGTCAATGTTGTTTTGCATCTAATAACATCTTACTTTTCTCAGTTTTTATTTAGATTTGGTTTACAGAAAAAAGATTACAAATTATCGAAAAAACAAAAGTACATTGCTATTTGATTGTGTGTGTAAAATATATTGTGATTCTTTATTTTTTTAAAGCCCACATCTAGTTAAACAAATAAGAAAGATGTCATTAGGCATCTTCTTTCTCTCACAGATGCAAAATATAAGGTTTGTATAGATATATAATTGTGTACAAACAAAAAAAAAGAACTTGAAGGTTTTTCTTGCCAACAACGGCAGGAATAACCTTTTACAATGGTAGGAAACCACTATACAATCTAATTACAAAGTATGATTTGACTTTGAAACTGTGGGTTTGACTTTAAAAGTCTATTTACCAGAGTAGAATCTAAATTTAATTTGTCATAGTATGATTTAGATATTAATACAAACTTTAAAGAATTAATACACTTTTTAGATCTTAAAATTTAGTGGTTTTGACTTTGAAAGTCAAAACTTTTTGTTTAGGTCCATGAAAAGTTGTCTTCTTAAATCTATGAACCATTTTGTACCAATGGAGCATAAATTATATTTTCACGGCCGTCAACATCTCATTCACACCATCTTCAGTTGCTCATAGCTTTAATGGTTTTATGATATTTATGCGTAAAAGTAAAATCAAAGAGCAAATAATGAATTAGTCTTTATAAGGATTTAGATATGATTTCATTTGTATCGTTTATAGACAAAGGATTCTACAAAGGGTAAAAGAATCGGTCCCTAAAGGATTAATATATAATTACATTCACTCCCATTTTGAATTTAGAAAAAAATAGACTCTGTGCATCCAGACAGGAATCAGTTAGCCCACGACACTCAAAGGAAAAATAACATGCCCTAAAGGAACTTACAAGATTCTAGATAATATCTATATCTTTTTAGTTGAAGATCTTTAGTTGAGATGCTACTGTTGCTAAAACCTTTCCATTCGATTCCATATATTATGAAAGTACAAAGTCATAAACTCAAAATACAAAGAGAAATAAAGCCCTAGTGAGTAATATGACGATTTTACCCCCACTATCAACCTCTTCCTACTCCATTTGCATAAACATTTACTTCAACCACACCACCACAACACTTGTTCAACCACACCACCACAACACTAGTAAAACAGAGAAGGGACATAGAGAGAGTCAAGAGTGGGGGTAAATTTGTAAAGTTAACAAGGGTTAACAACCAAATCCAAATGAAATTCATTTGAGGGATCGAAGACCATAAATATATATATATATATATATATATATATATATATATATATATATATATAAATAATATTTTTTTCTTAAACAGCTAGCCACATGGATAAAAGTTTGGGAGATTGGTGAATTTCAAAAGAAAAGACATAAGGATAGTAAACATACAGACGATGAATTGAATAAAAACAACTCATCTACCGATTATGCCTTGGTCCGATCAATTCTAGGATGGATGAAGACCGGAGGTGCTCT